ATGGCACACCCACACGTGTGCCGGCCCAGCACTCACAGATGCACGCACACAGAGGCGTGCACACCCACACATGCATTCGGGCGCACGCCCCCGGCACCCAGCGGCTGCAGCTCCTACCTGTGACGGACGGGAAGTAGATGCCCACCAGCAGGGTGAAGTATGAGGTCATGTCGCTGAAGACGTAGGGCTGGTCCAGGTCGATAACGGGGTCCACGAGGGCCACCGAGGGCACCCCCTGCTTCTCCACAATCACCCCCTTGGGCAGGTACGTGCTCCAGAGATTCTCTGCAGGGAGAGCCGGGGAGGGCTGGGTGTTCACACGGGAGAAACCCCTGCTCCAAGGGCGCTCTGCCATGCCAGCTCCTGCTACAGACGCAGTGAGGCATCCCCACAAGCCCATCACACAGCCCAGGAGACCCCACCCTGCTCAGCGCCCCTCCATCCCTGCACTCAGGAACGCAGTCACACAGACTCAGCCCTGATGGCCATCAGACATTGTGACGAAGTGGGGGATTTTCATGCAGAGGGAGTGGAACTCAGTTTCCCTGGGGGTTACTGGTTTAACGAGGTGAGGGGAGAGGGAGTTTGTGGTTACAGAGGACCGGAGAGAGAACTTGGGACCCCAGCTGATGGCCTCGAGGACGAATACCCCAGCGACTGGTAACATGACGACCTGAGCAGCCGGTTCTGGCCAGTGGGAGGACCATGGGCTGTAAAGAGAGGACCTGTGACCTAACCAGCCGGTTCGGGCCAGAGGACAGAAGAGAGGAGAGGAGGCCCAGTGACCCGGTTTACGACCCTGTTTTCCTGGAGAGAAGACAATGGACAGAGGCGGGGCCTGGGGCTGGGGGTATCAGATTCCCAGCTGGGAGCAGGGGGGCTCTGGGCTGGAGAGGGGGAGCAGGCAGAGCCCACCTGGATGCAGGGGAGACTTGGATGGGCTGGGCTGAGGGAGGCCAAGCCTGAGGGTCAGAGAGTTTCCTGTGCTGTGTTCACCTCTCAATAAACCCTCCTGTTTTATGCTGGCTAAGAGTCACTCCGGGCTAGAGAACAGGGTTGCATCAACACCTTCGGGGGGTGGAGGCCCCGGGGGTCCAGAGCGAGTGGACTCCCTGAGGGGGCCCACGGCGAGAGACAGACGTGCTAAGGCTCCGAGAGGTGCGGCTCCAGGAGGTGGGGGGGGGCCTAACCCTGAGAGAGAGTGGACCCCCAAGAAGGGCTGTCGCACTGAAAGGGGTTCCCCCCACGGACCGCACGGGGCCAAGAGTGGGCACGATCTGTGAGTCCGTGACAGACATGTCAGAGGGGGGTCTGAGAACACTGCAGTCGGTCCCCCATGACGGTCTCAGCCTGACCCCTGAGGATGTGCCTACACTGCAGCTGGGAGCGAGCTCCCAGCCTGGGGCCAGATCAACCTCAGCCTAGACCAGTCCACACAATCGGTCCACTTCCTAGACACTACAGTGCTAATAAGCGATGGTCACATAAACACCACCCTATACCGGAAACCTACTGACCACTATACTTACCTACATGCCTCCAGCTTTCATCCAGACCACATCACACGATCCATTGTCTACAGCCAAGCTCTAAGATACAACAGCATTTCTCCTATCCCTCAGACAGAGACAAACACCTACTACAAGTCAGGCCCAACAAAGAAAGTAACAGAACGCCACTAGCCGTCACCTTCAGCCCCCAACTGAAACTTCTCCCGCACATCATCAAGGATCTACAACCTATTCTGAAGGACGATCCCTCACTCTCACAGACCTTGGGAGACAGGCCAGTCCTTGCTTACAGACAGCCCCCCAACCTGAAGCAAATACTCACCGGCAACTTCACACCACACACCAAAAACACCAACCCAGGAACCAAACCCTGCTACAAAGCCCGTTGCCAACTCTGTCCGCATATCTATTCAAGGGACACCATCATAGAGCCTAACCACATCAGCCACGCCATCAGGGGCTTGTTCACCTGCATATCAACCAATGTGATATATGCCATCATGTGCCAGCAATGCCCCTCTGCCATGTACATTGGCCAAACCGGACAATCTCTACGCAAAAGAATAAATGGACACAAATCTGACATCAGGAATCATAACGTTCAAAAACCGGGAGGAGAACACTTCAACCTCTCTGGTCACTCGAAAACAGACCTAAAAGTGGCAATTCATCAACAAAAAAACTTCAAAAACAGACTCCAACGTGAAGCTGCAGAACTGGAATTAATTTGCAAACTGGACACCATCAGATTAGGCCTGAATAAAGACTGGGAGTGGTTGGGTCATTACAAAACCTAAACTTAATTTCCCCAATACTAATTTCTCCTACTGTTACTCACACCTTCTTGTCAACTGTCTGTAATGGGCCACTCTCATTACCACTTCAAAAGTTATTTTTCCTCCCTTGGTATCCTGCTGTTAATTGATTTATCTCATTAGCCTGACCTCACACTTGGTCAAGCAACCCCCATCCTTTCATGTATTTATACCTGCTCCTGTATGTTTCACTTCATGCATCTGGGTTCTAGCCCACGAAAGCTTATGCCCAAATAAATTTGTTAATCTCTAAGGTGCCACAAGGACTCCGCGTTGTTTTTACAAATGGTGCAGATGTTACGGCCCAGCGAAGGCTCACCCGAGCTAGGATCCAGGGAGTAGGTGGGCTTGGGCCCAGCTGCTTAGCCAGAGCTGCCACAGGTGTCACATCAGCCACATGGCTACTATTAGCACACTACTGCAAGCCCTGCTAGCACAAGTCTGTCTACCCAGCTGGGAGACTCGGTCCCCACTGCCGTGTGGACACACCCTCATAGTCAAAGGTCAGTTAACCTGTGAACTGCTTTGTCAGCATTAACTGTGATCACTCTGGACATTCATGATCTCCATATACACATCCAGTCCCTTTGGGATCTCGGTGACATCCTGTGGCAGCGAGTTCCACAGGTTAATTACACAATGCGTGAATAAGAATTTCCTTCATTAGTTTTGAATTTCCCACCTGTCAGTTTCACTGGCCGTTCCCTGGTGCCTGTGCTGTGGGACAGGGAGAATGGATGCCCCCTTTCTCATTGCTCTGCCCCATCCAGGACTGGATAGACTGGTATCCTGCCCCCTCTGCTCCAACCCTCTCGAGGGTTACAATCCCAATCTCTGCCAGTTCCCCCCACAACTCAGTTTTTCCAGCCTTGCTCGTTCTCGTCACCCTTCCCTGACCCCCCAGCTGCGTGCGACGGGGGCCCAGCGCTGCCCACAGGATCCGCACCATCGATTGATGCAAAGGTGCTGGAACATTCCCCGTGTTATTCTCCACCCCGGTCCTTGTGCAGCTCTTCTGCCTGCAGCTGCGCACTGAGCAGAGGTCTCCACTGCTGTCTGCAGTGGCACCCAGCTCCCGTCCCTGGCAGTTAATCTAGACCCCTGGGTGGTGTGAGGAGTTCAAATTCTCCCCTCCACCACACGTTACTCACCCATCCTCCCTGCACCCAGTGCCTCCTGCCTGGGGGAGCACCCCTGATGGCACCCTGGGGAGACCTCCCCCTTGGGACTCCTCTCTTAGCAGGCCTGCTCAGCACAGCCCTGGGGATTCAGGGTACCTGGAGCCTGACACCCCCTCCCTGGCTGCTGCCAGGGTCTCATCACTCTGACAAGGGACCCAGGACAGGGCCACTGGCCGAGATCAGCAGCTCCAGCCCGTCACCACACACACAGCTGATGGGGGGGCCGGGACCAGGCCCTGATGCAGGCACCGGGGATCTCTGCACAGGAGAGCAGCCAATGGCAGCGGATCCCAAAGCCAAGAGGCTGGGGCTGAGCCTTGGAAGACAGGGAGACACTCCACACCCCTGTGGAGATGCCAGCTCAGGACTACGTGCTGCCACTCTAGAAGCACATGTAGTGCGTCAGCACCATGGTGCCCCGAGTCACCTCGGCCAGGGGAGAAGGCCCCGCACAGCCCACGCGCTGGCCCTTTGGAAGATGCTGCAGGGGCTGGCTGGGCGTCCCCCTGCTGGATTCCCTACGGAGGGGCCAGGGAGGGATTCCAAATCCAGAGCTTCAGGAGAGGCTGATCCAGCCCTAGCCCCCACTGGGGGTTCTCTCAGCCCTTCCTCCTGGTCGCTTGCCCTCCCTTACCCGCTGTCTCTGCTCCTTGTTCCAGGTCGCTACCCTTCATTGCTGGGAAGAGACTGCCAGCCCCACTGAGCCGTCATCCTGCGTCAGCCCCAGCCAGGACTGCCCTCCGGGTGAGCCAGCCCAGCTCCCTGAACTTTGCCTCAGGACCGGGACCCATTCTGATGCCTGCCCTGCAGAGTCCCCAGCCCTGCCACACCTCCTCCCTCCTGCAGCCAGCGGCCACGGCACCAACTCTCCATATCTGGCCTGTCGCAGGCTGGGCCACTGGCTGTGGGCTCCCAGACTCCCCTGGACTGGCCAGCCTTTGCCATCTGCTGCCCACTCCCCGAGAACACCCCACCCTGCAGGAATCTGGGCGTGCTGCCCACTCGTGACCCTTCTGTCCTACCCACTAGGCACGGGCTGTCCCTGCCCCAGTAATCTGAGCTGCGGACACTTCTCAAGTGCATCCTGAACATCTAGTAAACGACGTCCATTGAATGCCCCTTATCTGCCATGGCAGCCATCGCCTGAGAGCGCCAAGCAGGTTAGTCACGCCTGGCCTCCCGTGAGCCTTCGGAGAGAGACACGAGCACTGGCAGAGCCTGGTGCCCGAGCTCCCCTGGCTCCGCTCTGCCCACGCACCCCTGCCGCTCCCCCAGCAGAGTCACACGCGCCAGCCCAGCGCAGAGTCGCTTCGAATGATACTTCCCAGGACACACAGCCAAGAAGTGCCGCCTGGCCGCCCTCTAGCACAAACCGCAGCACAGTGACTGCGCTGTAATGAACCAGCCACAGGAAGTCAGAGCGAGCTGGGATCTGTGTCAAACGTGCACCGAGGCCCAGGGAAGAGCGAGGTTAGAAGCCGTGCACGGGAGAGCCACAGCTGTAGTACCAGGGCTTGTGACCAGCTCCCGAGCCTGAGCGCACAGCTTGGTGTAGGGCTGCTTCTGGACTGACATCCAGCTGGACTGACTCCCAGTGACCAGGCCAGGGAACCCCCCAGAGCTGAGCCCAGAAGGGTCTGCAGCAAGAGGGGCGGCTCTCCCGCTGACTATCAGGCCTGTCCCCGAACCGGTGACCTGCAAAGGGAGCCCCACGCTGGCCCCTTCCATCTCCCGGGGGCAGAGGGAGAAGCCTGAAGCCCAATCCAAGGGCGTCACTGGAAGCTGGGGGGCTGCAGGGGAAGGCTGGTTCATTCAGCCCGGCGCTGTAAGGAAAATGCAGCACTCCCTTGAGAACCAAGCTGCAGCTGCCTTCCAGCAAAACCAGACTCCAAATCCCGGGCAAAACACAAGCGCCGTGTTTTCAACGCAGCCAACAGCACCAGCCCAGCACCCTGCCCCTTGGCACCTCCCCGGGCACCGCGGAGATTGCCGGGCGGCTGCAAGGGACAGATGTGCCAGAGGCTTTGCTACAAGTCGCAGATCTGCGCTGAGCAGGCTCAGAAGTGATTGTTCAAAGACTCCTGTCGTTGTTATTATTGTCCAGCTGCTTTGCCCCAGCCATGCTGCCGGGTGCGGGAGGAAGGCTGCTGTGCAGGCTGACGGCGGGAATAAAATCCTCCAGCCTTTTACAATTCTGACATGGCTGCAGGGATTTCCCTCGGACTCCGGTGCCCCAATGGGGTAAGTCTCAATGTAACTCCTGAAAGCATCTGGAACCAGGCCGCAGCGCCACAACCGCCTCTAGTGCCAGCACCACACGAACAGTGACCCCGGAAAAGCAGATTGTAAACAGCTCCTGCCACAAACTTCACCCGAACTTCCTCTGTCTCTGGCCCCATTCCAGAGGCCTGGGTACAGAACAGCTTCTGCTAATCTACATATGAAAGCAGCAGAGAAGTAACACCAAGGGGGCCATTACTTCTCTCTGAACCTCAGATCAATATCAGGTCTTCCCCAGGCCAAGAGGAAACAAAGAGCCAATTCATTCAGCTCCAGCCCTGGAAAGGCTGTGGGAAGCCGATGCACTGTGTCTGCTCGAAGGGCGAGCCCCAGAGGCACTGAATCTTGGTTCGCCCCATGGCTGTGGGAGATGCACCTTCCTAGGACAGCTACAGCCCAGACAAGGTTCTTCCTCACCAGTGACAACATCTCCACTGAAATGGGCAGGAAGAGACACAGCGGTGAGCAGCCCTGCACGTCAGCGTGCCCTACTTAGGGGGGCAGGTCCTGCTGCCCCACAGAGCCACCCTCCCAGCCCCCCTGCTCCAAGGCAATTGGAAGGTGGGAAATGAGCTTTCCTCACCTTTCAGCTGCTGGCAGGGCTGGTTTCTAACATGCACAAACTTCTCATGATCTCCAGCACCTCTCCCGACCCATACACAGCTCTGCTGGTGCCCCTCAGGCCTGACCCACAGCCCCCGGCTGCTCCACTTCTGGGCTTTTCCTTCCCAGAGGCTGAGCCGGGCTCTGGGGCGACCAAGCAATAGGTCACTCGGGAGCCGGAGGGGGGCCTGAACCAGCGCTAAGCCCAGGTCTGCCCACTCTCCCTCCCCCGCGCGGCTGCTCATACCTTTGATGAGCGCACTGGCAGCGCCCGGGATGCCCTGGATCTCGGTCACGTTGTTCCTCAGGAAGTACTCGTCACAGGTGGCGTTGAGGAATTTGGAGGTGCAGAACAGCTCCCACAGCTTGGAGCCCACTGTCTCGTTCCCTTCCAGCACCAGCTTGGCACAGATGTCGAAGCCGTGGCGCGACAGCGTCCTGTTACCCAGCAAACAGATCCTGGGGGGAGAGGACACAAGCAGAGAATGTACCAGAGCCATCTCCTGCCTTGTGGCAGCCCGGGGGAGGCGGGAGGGTGCTGCGCTGCTACTCACGGGAAGCTGGGGGGGTCGATGGCAGACTTGATGACCCCAGCGTAGATGGCCAGGATGGAGAGGATGACGCAGCCCAGGAAAACCAAGGCAAACTTGTTGACGTACTTGACCCCGACGAACACCACCGTGGCCATGCAGGTGAGCACGCAGGTGCCGTAGACACGCATGTTGTTGAGCATGGCCGCGGCCTCCTCGCTGGCATCCTCTCCCTCGAAAATGGCCATGGCGGGGAAGATATAGGCCTGGGAGAGAGTCACAGCCAGCATCAGCGCCTGGCCCAGCACAGCCCCCACCCCCCGGCTCCACTGGCCCACTTTTCCCCGTTGATCAGGGTGATTACAGCCATGCCCCCGGACCGGCCAGGATCAGAGCCCCCGTGTGCCAGGCTCAGCACCTCACAAGAGCCAAAATCATGAGATTTTAAAAAATGACGTTGTGTTTTGTGGTTCCGACCCCCACCCCATCCCCAGAGTGTGTGGGTCTGTGAGACAAGCCGTGCTGCCCACGCCCCCACACGTATTGGCTCTGGGGATTTGGGGAGCTCTCACCCCATCTGCCTGTCCCCTGTCCCCCCCAGCCTCTCCTCTGCTCCTCCGGGGCTCTACCCAGTGGGGTCCCCATCCAAGCCGGGTGCTGGGGGGGGACAGAAGCGCCACCCTGCCCCCATTGCGCATGGCTGGAGTGCTGGGCCAGAAGGTTGCTGGGTTACGGACCCAAGGGGCTGCAGGAACAGCCTCCCCCAGCGCCAGCTCAGAGGGGCCCAGCCACACTCACCAGAAGGATCTCGATGGTGCCCAGGATGTACATGGCTCCCGCGAAGGTGGTGCCCAGGTAGAAGCACAGCCCCACGGCCCCTCCGAACTCGGGCCCCAGAGAGCGCGAGATCATGTAGTAGGAGCCACCCGCTGGCAAAGAGAAGAACAAAGGGGGTTGGGCCCCACTGCAGGAGCCTGGCACGCGCCTCCTGTCTCAGGAACAGCTCCCTTTGCCCCCTGCCGGGCCGCTCGAGGGCACCAGGGCTCTTTCGACCTGAGCAGCGCCGAGTCCCAGCTCCAGCTCTCCTTCCTCAGGCCGGGGGAGCCACTGTGGGTCCAGCTCTTGCCAGGCAGGAGAGGGCGAGGGGGCAGGGCGAGGACAGGGCCTGAGCTGTGGGGAGGGAGGGGCGGTTTAGGGCTGTCTCCCATCCCAGCAAGGGGAGGGAAGCGGGCCCCTGGAGACCCTGCCAGACCCTGGCACCTTGGCTCACGCTGAGTGGTCTCTGGCAGTGGCCGAGCTGCGGGAGCTGCAGTGGGGG